GCCGTTCGGCTAACATCCAGCTCAGGCTCGTTTGCGTCTCCTGAGCAAGTCTCTGGGCTTTAGCTCAGTGGACAGAGCTGCTAATCCAGTATCTCAAATGCTTTCTTCCCTGTGGAAGATAAGATGAGTTTCATAAAACATATGTGCTGCTTCTTCCAAATCTGTTCTCGTTTCTTTTATTTATTTATTTTTTTTTAATTTTTTGACAGGCAGAGTGGACAGTGAGAGAGACAGAGAGAAAGGTCTTCCTTTGCCGTTGGTTCACCCTCCAATGGCTGCCGCGGCCAGCACACCACGCTGATCCGATGGCAGGAGCCAGGTGCTTCTCCTGGTCTCCCATGGGGTGCAGGGCCCAAGCACTTGGGCCATCCTCCACTGCACTCCCGGGCCACAGCAGAGAGCTGGCCTGGAAGAGGGGCAACTGGGACAGAATCCAGCGCCCCGACCGGGACTAGAACCCCGGGGTGCCGGCGCCACAAGGCGGAGGATTAGCCTAGTGAGCCGCGGCGCCGGCTGTTCTCGTTTCTTGACTCTCCAGCCCGGCAGGGGTAGTGTCTGATGGGCCCACATCAGTGCGTTTCCTCGCCAGCACTGAACGCAGGCCCAAACCTGCTGCACATGCAGGCTCTCTGTCAAGTTCAGAGAGAACCTCCCCACCTGCAGGAGCCCCTGGACAAGCATTTGCTGAATGCGAGCCTTCCTGCTCCTCTCGGGGAGTCTGGATCCGAGCTCTGAGGACCTCACTAGGTTTTCCACATTGTGTGTCTCCTGCGTTATCCCCCCCTTCTCCTGTAAGGGAAAGCCTTTACTCTAATGGCGTAGATGAGTTTCTCGCGTGACTAGGCCTGATGGGCAATGTGGGCTTCCCGCGGTGACGTTCAAGTAGCTGGGCCTGTGGCATCCTGTGGGAGACCCCGAGGGAGCTCCTGGCTCCTGGCTTCAGCCCGGCCCCACCCTGGCTGTTGAAGGCACTTGGGGAATAGACGTGCCAAAGGAGACCTCTCTCTTTCTCTTTCTCAAATAAATAATAAAAATGGAAATGCAGCAAGAGATTCTTAAAATTTTGTTTAAAATAAAAATAAGGACTATCAGGAAACATTCCAGTCATGACCCAGGGAACTCAGAGGGACCCGGCCACGCCTGGCGCTTTCAGACACCCTCTGTGATGGCACTGGTGGGAGCGAAGTCTGTAGCTACCAGGAGAGGCCGCAGCACCAGCGTGCCCAGGATGGCCTCTCGCTGTCAGCCACCACAAGGCCATTCGGATACCTGGGAATGTTCATCTTCGAACCCAAAAAACCACCTGGCAACTGGCAGACCCCCATGGGGCTGGAGGATCAGGAGGCCTGATTGGCCATGGAAGCACTCCTCAAACATTCTCTGATCCTGGGCCAGTTGGAGAATGTGATGGCGGCCACGGCCAGAAGCTGGTTAGGCACCAACATCCCACATGGAGGATATGGGCTCAGCTTCTGGTCTGCTCAGTCACGTGCAGTCCCTGTTGGCAGAGGCTCAGGGACTGCTGATGGGAGAGAGGCTGACTCCTGGAAGCAATGGATCTCAGTCGTGTCGAGGATGTAACTGGAAAGAGAATAGAAGTGTGGCTTTCAGAAGGCATCGGCCCAGGTTACCAATCGTGCTTTGGTTAATACATCTGTGCATTTAGGCGTGGGTTTGGGGCTGCCTCTCCATAAGACCCTTTGCAAAGCAGAGGCAGAGACAAATAACCCAGCTGGAATAACATTACTAATAAAGAGAAGGAACACAGGGAAGCAGCAGCCATGCTGTTCTGGATGCCCGCGAGGCTCCCGCAGGTGTCACGCGGCTTGCAGGCTTCCTCCTCTAGACGAGCTGCACGAATTTTCCGTCTTCCTCAGACTCAACTCTCAACCACCATGTCAGCACTCAAAGGGTCTCCTGAGGGGTGCAGATTTTGTGCAGTGGTTCAGACACCACTTAGACCACCCGCAACCCCTCCCCGAGTGCCTGACTGCCGGTGTCCGCTCTGCTTCCAATTCGGCTTCCTTCTCATGCACACCTGAGGGGCAACAGGTGACGGCTGAAATAGTCGGGTTCCTGCCCCCAACCTGGGAAACTGATTTGAGCTCCTAGCTCCTTACTTCAGCCTGGCCCTGCCCTGGCTCTTAGTGAGTATACTGGAGAGTGAACCCATGACGCAAAGTTCCCATCTCTCTATCTGTCTCACTGTCTTTTGCGTAAGAATAAATAAATATAGACATTTTATAAGAAGTCACCTGGATACCTGTGTTTGAGGCCAGGCGCAGCCTGTATGCACCGTGCAGTGTCTTGGGCAAGAGGTACAGGGGGCGCTTCTCCACGGCCACTCTGGTGAGAGTGAGGAGGCTGGGCGGGGCCTGCCATGTCCACTCCCACGGAAATCTGTGGGGAGGCAAAGGCTAAGACAGCACCTCTGTGAGGGGCTTGTCCTCAGGGCTTGCAGTGGTGGACGTGCCCCGGCCGACTCCCCGGCTCCTTCCACAGAGCCCACAGGGAGGCCAGGCTGGTCCAATATCTAGTTTTCAGTCTTTCAACTTAATAAATTAGAGTCTCATTTTCTTATTCATAAAATCTCACTTTGCTTAATTTTATACTATTTTTATATTTAATGTTTTTGCACTAAAAATCCTTTGTTCTTTCAAAATCTTTTTTTTTACTTTTAAGATGTCAGGTTTTCAATTTTTCCAGTAGTTTTTAAGATTCAATACAGTTCATAGAAACAATTCTAAGAATATAATGATAGTCCCTCCTCTCTCCCTCCCTCCTTCTCCCTTTCCCTCTTTAGTCTTTGAGATAACATATTTTCAATTTACATTACATTAAAAAGGCTTAATGCTTCACTGAATAAGAAATTTAACAAGTAAAAAGCATAAAGACCCTAGTATAGTGGGAACATAGACAATGGCTATAAATAATAATTGAGTGGAAAAATGGCCATTTTACCAGATACAGAACATTATACTTTACTTTATACTGCAACTTTAGCAGTTTCTTTTTTTAAAAAAACCTTACAGATTACATCACTTTTCCCCCCTTGACACTTCCGTGTCTCCAGTCCCCACGTTCTCGGCATCTGTGTCGTGAGCATCTGAAGGGCCACCCGTGCTCATGCTTTATGGAGGGGCCACTGCTTTTCCGCCTCACCGTGCGTTCCAAGAAAGCAGCTGCCGGGCTCAGGAGCGCGCGTGCTTCTCCTGTCGCTGAACCAATGACGTCCATGCCACTAGGATAAAACAGAATTACACTTAGGTTCTCTTCATTTTTTTTTTAAATTTGATTTATTTGAAAGGGAGAAAGGAAGGGGCAAAGAGACAGAGAGAATCTCCCATGCGCTGGTTTAATCCCCACTTACCCATAATATCCACAGCAGGCCAAGCCCAACCCAGGCGCCAGGAACACAATTCAGGCCTCTTACGTGGTTGTAGCCTGGGCAGCAGCCATCACCTGCTGCCACTGAGGGTGCGCATTAGCAGGACGCTGGAGTGGACAGCAGAGTCGGGACTGAAGCCCAGCACTCGCACGTGCGTTGTGGACGTCCTAAGTGGTGACTTGACTGCTGCACCAGCCGCTCACCCCCACCTGCACACAATGGCGTGTGGAATCTGCAGGTGTTTCCTACGGGATTTCCCCATGCCTATCAACGCTAGTTTCAGAGTTGAGGATTTAGTGAATTGCCCCAACATGCCTGTATAAATATAGATGCTGTAATTGGGTTGTGATCCCACTTAGGAATATGCTTCCTACTTTTCTCATGGATTTACTGCTGCCAGACAACAAAAAAATCAAAAACTATTTATAATTCATAGACATTGCTCAACCTTTGCAAAATTCATGCAGAAAATTGACCCTTTCTCATTGAACGTTGTTGTTTTGAAGTAAAACTCCTCATGTGAGACTGACGTAAGACACATCCAGGAGGTGAACTTCGTAGTTTCTACCCATAAGCAGTAGAGTGTGAAAAATGAAAGGGGTCCTGGAATTCGGTGCCGATGCCACTAACTGAAACAATATGGCAATGCCCATGAACTAAGTCTCATCCAAGTCAAGTACAACTCAGGGAAGAGAAAAAAAAAAACTTCTTTACATGTTTCTAAACCCAAACAAAACAGCCACACAAGCCTAAAACACATTTAAAAAGAACAATGGCAAATGGGTTTCATGGTAAGCGCAGATGAAACCAATGAGGAGTGCTCGTTACAGACGAGAGAGGACGCATTCAATCATCTTTCATATAAACCCAGCCTCAAGACAAGAGCTGGCGTTCTCTGCATGTCTCACAAATATCAAATAGAAAAATCAGTTATCGGAGCCGGCGCCGTGGCTCAATAGGCTAATCCTCCACCTTGCGGCGCCGGCACACCGGGTTCTAGTCCCGGTTGGGGCGCCGGATTCTGTCCCGGTTGCCCCTCTTCCAGGCCAGCTCTCTGCTATGGCCAGGGAGTGCAGTGGAGGATGGCCCAGGTGCTTGGGCCCTGCACCCCATGGGAGACCAGGAAAAGCACCTGGCTCCTGGCTCCTGCCAGGATCAGCGCGGTGCGCCGGCTGCAGCGGCGGCCATTGGAGGGTGAACCAGCGGCAAAGGAAGACCTTTCTCTCTCTGTCTCTCTCTCTCACTGTCCACTCTGCCTGTCAAAAAAAAAAAAAAAAAAAAAAATTAAAAAATTAAAAAAAAAATTAAAAATCAGTTATCGAATTCTTTCTAATTTCAAGCAGGGTCTGTCATGGGATGGCTACTAAGGCCCCCAGTGGCTGGACCTATCGCTGACCAAGTTCCAGGTCATCATGAATCTACTGTCCCCCTCTACAGCGACGTCCACACACGGCCACGTCAGAGGCACAGACCGGCTGATAACCTGATCACATTAAGTTTCAGGTCCTTTAACTTGCTTACTTGGACAAATTAGGCTCTGCCAAATTAGCCTCCATTGCGCAGGCTCACGGCTTCAACAATTTGAAGAACAGAAAGCATGCAGGTGAATCCAAGCATAAGACAGTGTTTAAATCACAGAGCCCCCCAGCCCCACGTCCTGGCAGACCCACTTGATGTTATCGTCGCTGTCAAACAGGATGGAGTTGGTGTAGGGGCCACCGCCCTCGGGGAGGATGGTGGTGTAGGAAGTGAACTTGACTCGCTTCCTCTTTGGGCCGGAAGGGTTTACAGGTTCGCTTTTCATGTCTTTCTCGTAGCCATAGTCAGAGGGTCTGAGCAGGTGACTATGGAACGTCTTCTGGGAACTGCCGTTCAGAAGGAAGTTCCTCTCCTCGAACTGCAGCCCCCTGTCCACCACGGTCGTGCACTCCTCCGACGGGAGCGTGATGTCCACCGGGTTCTCCAGGAGCTCCACCTCGTTCCCCAGCCAGACCCAGTCGTGGGAGTGGGGGATGTTGCCCTGCTCACTCACGGCAAACCTTTTGTGTCTGTACTTCCAGGCAAACGCCACACAGTTGATTAAGAAGACCAGGATGGCCAGGCAGAAGACACAGAGCAGGGCGTACATGCCAATCTCCAGGTCCGTCAGCCCCCTGGAGGTCACCGTAAGGTCACTGGGATTGTTGGGATCTGGCAGCTTCCCCTGAGTGGGGTAGCTGGTGAAGGCATCAGCACCCCCGCTTCGGAGGAACTTCTGATCCTTCGCTTCCACGGGAGGCTGTGGGGTTGTGCTTCTGTTGCGGTCCTGTCGGCCCGCAGGTGCGCCCCGCGGGGGCCACTCCTGAACGGCTCTCTCCTGGTTGCCTCCGCGCTCTATGGAGTTACCCAGGTGGTCTTTGTAGTCTCGACTCACGCCCTCGATGTCGTTGGAGCCTCCTTGGTGCTCACCGGCACTGGGCTCAAATCTGACCTTGACGTTTCCTTTCCCCACGGCAAGAACACTCTTCCTCTTGGTCTTCTGACACGGCTCACTGATCATCATCTCCAACTTAATCAAGGGCCCTTGCCCCTCACCTTCCGCAACCACCACGGGCCACTGGGACTGAAGGTTCGGCTGGACAGACACCACCATTTCATCCAACGATGAGACAGTGACAGAAAAATCCTTGGGACCATCAATGTCTACAGAAGACACTGAATTGCATCAAAGTCCCAGAAAAACACACCAAAGCATTTGTTATATCTCCTTGAAATTTACAAAGTTATTCAAATAAATGTTAACTCCCCCAAATTCCTAAATATATGATTAGAAAAAAGAAAACCTCAGTGCCCTGTAACCTTTTACAGTTCCTGACGTGCACTGGGCCATCATTAACACTGATCCACACTCTACCGATGTGAGGAGCACACCGTGTATTTCAATAAGTGTGTGAACGTGGTATTATTTCGTGCCCTGCAATTGAACTTCAGTTCGACCTTCTGGAAGCCTTTTGACAGAGTAGGTGATTCATCTGCACATTTCAAGTGCAGGCACTCAGGCTGCAACTCCGGATACCATGTAAGCCAGGAGGCATCGGAAAGCCCATGCGGATGAGGCAGCACAGTGCTGGCTTGAGACGTCGGGGGGAAGACACATTACAATTCGTCCTGCTTGAAAGACACAATACTCCTGATACCTCTCTGAAATGATCTGCTAGAACTCTACAATGTGTGTACGTTTTGGAATTGGCCACATTATGGTGAGTAGGTAGTGATGTGATGCTGCTCACAAAAAAATGGATTTCTATGAGTCAACAACAACCTGCTTTCCTAAAAATGCAAGAATAGCAAGAATAGTGTAGTCGGTCATGGTCGACCAGTAGACTGTCAACTGCACAGATAAACCCACTGCAAACCGGATGGCAGAGGGGCTGTGCTGGGCATCCATAAACGCACCCAGAGGAAATGCTGCTCCTGTGTGAGTGTTCTGCTCAGAGACGGTCCAACCGGATAAAAAGCTCTAAGAATCTCCATCCCAGCTCTAAGTTCTCTGTGCTGAGCCCCCTTGTGAGCGCAACTGAGAGGGAGAGATTATTCCCTTTAACCAATTTCTCAGGGTCTCTGGGGATCTCGCCGCCTTACTAAGGCGATAAGCAATCCCAGGAACCCGCTCTTCAGTGAAGGTACTGGAGGGAGGGCAGGCAGCTGCCGACAGCAGTCGTAGTCTTTCCAGGCACCTCCGGGTGACTGAGGGAGGAGAGGGCTTTCCAAAGTAAGGGTGAAATTTCATGTTTCTGCCCACAATGTCACCAAACAAAAGCCACCAAAGTTGAGATTGGTGTAAAAATAACCACTACGATCGTCAGAATCCTTCATTTGTATTTGTTTGTTTATATGAAAGGCAGCAAGAGAGAGTCAGGGAGCCAGAGTGGATCCAGAGCAAGAGTGAGAGTGAGAGCGAGAGAGAGGGAGAGTGAGGGAGAGAGAGCAGGAGACAGAGAGTGAGAGAGGGAGAGAGAGGGAGAGAGAGAGAGCAGGAGACAGAGAGAGAGGGAGAGAGAGGGAGAGAGAGAGAGCAGGAGACAGAGAGTGAGAGAGGGAGAGAGAGGGAGAGAGAGAGAGCAGGAGACAGAGAGTGAGAGAGAGGGAGAGAGAGAGTGAGAGAGAGGGAGAGAGGGAGAGAGGGAGAGAAGGAAAGAGCGAGAGTGAGAGAGAGGGAGAGAGGGAGCAGGAGACAGAGAGTGAGAGAGAGGGAGAGACGGAGAGAAGGAAAGAGCGATAGTGAGAAAGAGGGAGAGAGAGAGAGCAGGAGACAGAGCGAGAGTGAGCGAGCGGGGCTGGACCGGGCGGAAGCCAGGCTTGGGGATACCAATCCAGGTCTCCTATGTGGAGCAGGGCCCCAACACCCCAAGTCCTCACCTCTGCCCTACGGGGTCTCCTTAGGGAATCCCAGCCAAGGGCTCCGATGGGGCTGTGGGTTACCAAGCTGTGTTGTAACCACTGCACCAAGTGCCCTCCCCACAAGGACGCCTTACCTCTAATCACAGCTCCATTACAACCACTCAAAACTTAGTCATTGAGGTTTAGACCAAAATATGTTCCTGATTTTCCACCAAAAGCATGTACTTGCTAGAACGATTTATTAAAGCAAAGTATGATCGTTTGCTTTTCCTCACCAGTGACAGGGCTTCTAAAAAGAACTTACGGCATGTTTTCTTTGATTCGAACCATAATCATTGTATATTGCTTAAAGGAGGTTTGGTTTGATTTAGCAATGATAACTAAGTATTTAAAAGATAATGCACATCTTCTTGCTGTATATTCAAAGTGAGTGAATCATTTCTATTAAAAAAAAACCCTATGTGTGCTCAGAGAGCGAGACAAGAGCAGTGCCAGTCTGAAGGTGGTGCTGGCTGGCCCTCGTGCTGCCTTTCGGTTTGGCTTGGGTATTTGCGGAACAATGATGGGCTGACGCTCATGACGTGGGTGAGCACCCCAGGACGGCACAGTGGGAATGGGAGTTTAATGGCCCAAAAGCATCAGTCCCTCCACTCAAACGTCTATTTGCAATTTAGTTGAAGAGAAGGATGCATCACTATTAAAGCAGCTGTGCATAAAATGGATGTTGGAAAACAGCTAAATGGTGGTTTAACATTTTACAGTGACAATTTGTAGTTTTATTAAGAATAACTGTTGCTCAATCTCTAAAATATTATCCCATAAATATAAACTTGGAAAACATTTTCCAGTGGGTGCATGACAACAGATGGAACATAAGACTCTAATTATGTCCCATTGTCTGCAAGAATTAAATTTTAAATTTTTAAAATGTTCTTATCCTTTGCCCAAGTCCAACTACAGCTACATGGTTCGACTTCAAGGTTAGACAATAAAATTGTCAGAGGTGCCTGTCCATGCTTAGTAATGCACAGAAAGCAGAAAAATACTGCTTTCATTTGTGTTTTCCCTTGGTTTTAACTAGGTCACCTTGAAAAATTTGTTTATTTTTCCTTCCGCAATCCTGTGAGATAGAAACGGCCCTCCTCACTGCTCTCCTCTCATGGACAACGCGAGGTTCTGGGAGCTCAGGAAGCCACCTACCAAATGGCTCTGGAAACAAAACCTGAGCCCCCAACTGTTTTGAGCCCAAATCTTCAGTCTGCCAATGCCATCACACAGCCACAGAAGGAACAGCGTTCCTCAAAGCCGCCTCCTAGCTGAAGGCTACCACGTCCCCGAGTGAGACAAGCCTGAGTTGTGAGGGTGTCTAAACAGTACAGCCATGTTGTATGAGCGGCCAGGAGCAACCCAAGCCTTGTCCTGCCAGCTGCCTCCAAGGCACGTGGCTCCGTCTCAGACTGGTGATTCCTCTGACTTGACAGGCTCAAGTGAAGCCCCAGGGTGTAAACCTGCAACGCTTTCTCCCCTCCTGCCAAGATCAAGCCTTTACTCAACGTCTTACCTTGCAATAAGCCTGTTTGTATTACCAGTACAAACACATCTATCAGAAGACAGGGACAGGGAAGGCATTGGGGCAGTGTGCGGTACTGTTGGGACACTGACATGTCATATCACAGTGGTTGGGTTTTGGTCCAATGCCTGGGTTCAAGTCCCAGTTCCACGGCTGGTGCATTCCCTCTGAGGCCCGAGGGGTCGAGTCCCTGCCACCCATGTGGGAGACCCTGATGGAGCTCCTGGCTCCTGACTGGCCATCTTACAGGCATTTGGGGAGTGACCAATGGATGCACTCTCTCTGTGTGTGTCTTTAAAATAGTTTTTGGTAATAAAAGAAAAATGAATTAGTTTTCCATTACTACTGTAGCAAACTTGCCAAATGTGGAGGCCTAAATCAACACAGGTTTGTTCTCTGCAGATGTGGGGTCAGAAGTCTGGCCAGGGTCTCCCCAGGCTAGGATCAAGGGGTTTCTGGGGGAGGTCCTATGTCCAGAGGCTGCCCACAGCCCTCCCTTCACCTGCTCCTTCCTCTGCCTTCAACCACGCCCCAGCCCCTTAGCCCATCTCCATCATCACATCTCTGGCTCTGGCCCTCTCTCTGGCCTCCTCCCTGCCTTTAAGGACCTTTGATAACATGCTCACTTGGACAATCCACAGTGATCCTCCCATTTTAATGTTTATTTCTTCTCATGCCCTTTAAAAGAGGGGGAGAGAGAGAGCGAGAGAGACTGAATATGTTTCATCCACTGGTTCACTTTCCAAACACCTGCCACAACCTGGGCTGGGCCAGACTGAAGCCAGGACTTAGTAATTCCACCCTCTCCCACGGGCAGCAGGACCTGAGAACAGGAGCCACCGTCTGCTGCTTCCAAGGACGCATCAGCAGGAGGCTGGAATGGAGAGAACGGGGACTAAACTGCTGGTGCGCTGATGTGGGATGCAGGCAACCCAGCTTAAGCCACTGTGTCAAATGCCCACCCCTGATCTTCCCATTTTAAAGCTGATTGGTTGGCAACCTTAAACCTGTCTTCAACCGTAACTCCCTCTTGCCATGTAATGCGACACCTTCCCGGGTTCTGGGGATTGGCACATGGGCATCTTCGGGGGCCTGTGGTGTCGTTCACACGTGGTAATTACATGTTCTCTACTTTGTCTCATTCTGAGGTTTCGCAGTGCAGTAAGACATTTGAATTGTGCAGGAGCCCTGCCCCTGCCCGACAGTAGCCGCCTCGTGCCGACACGTCACAGCCTAGCCAATCTCTCAGCTGTGGTGGAAGGATGGGCACCTTATCCAAACTGGACTTCAGAGTCTACTCCTGGGACTTGGCAACCTGAGGGTGAGAGGAACGCCTCTCCCTCCTCCTCGGGAAGGGTATGACCTGAGGGTTCCTGTTTTCCCATCTCATTGACTGAGACAGAGCATGTTTGCAGTAGACAGAAGGGAACCAATTTATAGAAACCAGGAAGAGGAGATAGACAAGAAAGAGAAAAATGTTTTCTTGTGACGCTAAAGTCCCAGAATCCAGTCCATGGAAGTCCCACCTGTGTGTAATATGACTTCAGGAGGGAAAAAGTTACATCATTTTGCTTAAGAAAATGCAGGTTGAGAGGCCGGCACTGTGGCGCAGTGAGTTAAAGCCCTGGCATCCCATATGGGCACAGGTTCGAGTCCTGGCTGCTCTTCTTCCAATCCAGCTCTCTACTATGGCCTGGGAAAGCAGTGGAAGATGGCCAAGTCCTTGGGCCCTTGCACCCACGTGGAAGACTTGGGGAGGGGGTTCCGGGCTCCTGGTTTCAGATTGGCACAGCTCCAGCCGTTGCAGCCATCTGGGGAGTGATCTGGGGAGTGAACCAGCGGATGGAAGACCTCTCTCTCTCTCTGCCTCTCCTCTCTCTGTGTAACTCTGTCGCTCAAATAAATAAAATAGATCTTCAAAAAAAAAAAAAAAGAAAAGAAAAGAAGGCTGGTGCCGCGGCTCACTAAGCTAATCCTCCGCCTGCGGCGCCAGCACCCCGGGTTCTAGTCCCAATTGGGGCGCCAGTTCTGTCCCGGTTGCCCCTCTTCCAGGCCAGCTCTCTGCTGTGGCCCGGGAGTGCAGTGGATGATGGCCCAAGTGCTTGGGCCCTGCACCCGCATGGGAGACCAGGAGAAGCACCTGGCTCCCGGCTTCGGATCAGCGTGGTGCGCCGGCCGCAGCAGCCATTGGAGGGTGAACCAACGGAAAAGGAAGACCTTTCTCTCTCTGTCTCTCTCACTGTCCACTCTGCCTGTCAAAAAAATAAAAATTAAAAATAAAAATACAAGAAAAGAAAATGCAGGTTGAGCTTTGCTGATTTTCAGCCCGAGTGCCAAGCAATGCAGGCAGAACAGCGAGTTTATCGGCAGAGCCACATCAGGTCTCCTAGGAAAACTTGGGGAACTGCTGGTAGAGGGCACAAAGGCAAACACGTCTCACGGGGATTCCATCCTAACCCAAGGGTGACAGACACTAAGTCCTCCTTCCAATCCCTAAGGAGGGGACGGGTGTTTGGCACTGTAGTTAAGAAGCCCACGTCCCATATCAGAGTCCTTGGGTTCCAAGCCTGGCTCTGCTTCTGATTCTAGCTTCCTGCCCATGTACATCACATGTAGCAGGAGGTGGCTCAGCTGGTGGAGTACCTGACACACGGGTGCAGTGCCCAGCTCGGGCCAGCTCCAGCTGTGCAGACATTTGGGGAGTGAATGAGCAGATGGAAAATTGTCATTCTCTTTCTGTTCCTTCCTCCTTCCCTCCCTCCCTCCCTCTTTCAAA